CCGACCTGACCCGACGAAATTAAGGTTTCACCGACCCGACCCGAATATGACTTAGAAACCCGACCCGACCCGAAATAATAATAAAAAAAATTTTATTCAATGAAAACAGTGACTTAATTGAAAAAAATAATATATGGAGGGACATTATTGTAATTATCCCTAAATATATAGGATAAAATTATATATATTTTCGGGTCGGGTCGGGTCGGATTTTTTTCACCCTAAACCCGACCCGACCCGAACCCGATTTTTTTTTTTAAAAATCCGACCCGATCGGGTCGGGTCGGAACCCGTCGGATTCGGGTTGAGTTGCCATCCCTACAAGTAATACATTTCTAACGAGGCCCAATTTTTAATTGGATCGAACTCCGGCTTGATCAAATTATGAGGGAGTTTTTAATGATATCCAATTTCCTTTTAAAAAAGAAAGCAATACATTTTTACATTATTGCATGAAATGACACCAAAAAAGATATTTATGAAAATAGCACTTATTTTATAACTGGATGCGTTATGTACGTTAAAGGTGTGTCCAATTAACTGCAGTTTTGAAAGACGTGATTATTTATGTAATACACTAAATTTTGGTTAATGACCGAAATATAATTTTTTAAAGTTTAGAGGCCAAAGTAGAAAGTTTGAAATTTTTAGGGACCAAAAGGGTAATTTTTAAAAATTAGGTATTTTGACCCGTAAATGAATAGTTCAACACCAATAATGATATTTCCATGAGAATCAGAATTTTGACTCGGAATTTGTGTTAAAAGCTATAAAACAATAAAGCCTGAAAGAAAATCGGATAATCGGATTGAACCGGAATTTTACGAAAATTTGAAAGATGATAGATAAATGTTAAAAATATTATTTCCAAATTTTATAACAGTGAAATTTAATGTGGATTATTGGAATTGAAGTTGATTTTATATATTTAGCTGAAATTAGAAAATTTAGTGACTAAATTGTAGTTTTTGAAAATTTACAAGAGCAAAGGTGGAAAGTAATTTTTTATCTGTTCATATTTGACTTTGAAATATTAAAAGGGATGATAATGCAATGACAAGTTGAAATTATCATGTTTCATTAAGGGTAAAATGATAATTTCACATTAAATTAGATTAAATCAAGTGTAATATGTTATAATTGAAGAAAAATCAGAATTTCAATATTGAGCGTATAATGATTGTATGGGGTTTTCTCCATCACACCCATCTTGATTATCCTCCTTTCAAATAATATAGAAAAATTCAAATTTATTGATTATTTCGTATTTAATCTCGTAACTTTCTCTATCATAGATTATTATTACAGATCTTCACCTTATCTACGCTACATACGGAAACATTTGGTGTAAAATTAAATTGTTAATATCATAGAATCATTATGCTCTTTTTAAAAAATATGTATGGTAAAATGTACAACGTTACCCTTATAAATTTTAATGTCTTTTTTTTCAATGTGAAATTAGTCTCTTACCTAAAATGTGATGGTGAATGCAGCGAATTTAATTAGAAATAGATACGAGCTGAGAGAAAATAATTCCTCTGCCCCTCTCTCTGTGACCCTATTTATGCCCCTCCAATATCTTTTTTACACGTGTAGTCTTTATTTCAAAGCAAAACTCATGTAATTTTTTAAAAAGATTCTCTTATTTTACTTCTGCTTCAACCTTTAAACCCATAGAATATGCCTTGTCTGCAACGAAACCCACAGAAACAATCTTGATCATTGTTTTCAGTTCCTAAAACGACATGTTTAAATGATCTTCGGTTATCGATTGATTTTCGGCGGTTGCGTTAGAAGTTCCCTCGCTGTTTCTGCAGATTTCCTTTATTGTTGCAGAGGAAGAAACGCAAAATATACACACAAAAATACCGAGAAAGATTTGAATATATTGGTGATGAAACGAAAGCTCGAATAGAAATCATACAGTATGATTGCGAAGTTAAGGAAGATCAAAGATACCATGAATCATCTGGTTCAATGGTCATTTCTGCGGGTTTTTTCTGAAGTTTGAAGTTGAGAAATGAAGTAAAATGAGAAAATAAATCTTTTTGAAAGATTACATTGATTTTGCTGTGAAATAAAAATTACACGTGTAAATAAAATATTGGGGGGTCACAAAAAGGAACAGAGGATTTTGTTCGTCATTTGGTCTTCAAACGCATTGGGCCTTGGGCATAAAATATAAATATTTTCAATATTTTATTTAATAAGAAAAGGATGTGAATTTTAATATAATTTGGATATGTTAATTGCAATTTTTGACTGTAAAATACATCTTATACTTTTTAGTTTATATTAAAGCTAATTTCAGACATTTGGCCCATGGGGGAGAGATGAAAAAGGTGGCAATGGCAGCAGTTTTTGAAGATGGACAAACTTGAAACATGGCATCATAGACAACAACAAAAGCACATAACATCAACTTATTCCAACATTTTTCGTCATCATCACCAGACCACATACTGATTTGTCACAGATACATAAGAAATCTGTTTTAATCAGCGGTGGACAGCTTCTTGCTTGCTGCTACTGCTGCCGGTGTTCTTTTCATAGTAATGGTAAGCCGCTGCACCCGAGAGCACCGCCAGTGTCAAGGCTTGTGCGTGCATCCTGGCATGTATTAGCCTTAGGCTTGGCTTCAGGGAGTCTTTGCGCCAGTAAAAGTATTATAAGCCAGTGATGCCCCAACAGCTGATGCCCAGATTGCTCCTGCAACACCCAACATTGCACCATATTATGTATTGAAAAAAAAGCTAGAACAATGCAAAGGGATGTGAAAGGGGTTAAACTGACCAATGCTGGTGAGCTTGTGATTTGAGACCCAGGTCTGAACTGCCTCCATCTTCGACCCCTTTGCTTTTTACTTGCTATCAGAAGAAATTAGTAGTCGGATTGGAAGATGAAGGGGGGGGATTTTAGGGTTATTTATAGATTAAATGGAGGGATTTGCAAAATGTTTGAGGTGGCCCCTGGATTTTGAGTTTTCACTTTTTTGGGAACATTGGATAAGGTTAAACAAGAGGCTTTCACCTGTGTGGTTTTATGGGTACCTGCTAATGTTTCACTTTCTTTGTTTCGACATGTGCCCAGATTGGATGCTGTGGGCCACTTTCATCAGTTTCTAAGGTGGGAAAAATGTCTGCTTAAATATTTCAACTTCTTTTTTTTAGTTTGTTGGACTGCATTTTTTTTTTACTGATCCACCTACCGCTATTGATATAATACTACTGATGAAGATAAAAAAACGAAAGACTAAGTTGGTTTTAATCCACCAAGGCGTAAGTTTTCACATGTTTTGACTTTGAATTTTTATTTTAATTTGATAATGCTTTTGGATTGGGATCCTTTCCACTGTTGCCCAGTTCTCTTCAAGTTTCCTCAGGAAGGGTAGTGATGGAGCACTTTGAATCACTTCAAGAATCGAGTGGATAAGTAAGTTACTTTCAAATTCGAATTTATTTTATTAATTATGCTTAGAGCCCGTTTGTTTTGCGTAAAACATTTATTATTATTTTTCAGTGTTTGGTTAGAGGAAAACTGATTAGTCAATGTGAAACATTTTCTGATCATAATTTACTTTACATTTTCTGAAAAATAACTTACGATTTGATTTTTCGTAAGTCATTTTCTGAACTTTTCACTCCAAAGAATAAATACTCAAAATAATTTTATAAAACCTACATGTTAATTGAATCCAAAGGTATTTTTCCTAAAAAAAAAAGTTAGCTTCTTATAATAAAGAAGTAGATGTATAAATATTTAATTCCATGTCCAATATTAAAAAGATATCTTGTATTCTTTACAACTTTTTAAGCATATGAATGCCACCATGTGGGTCGGTGCTTAAAATCAGCTCACTCTAATCTTTAGATCAGTCAATTATTAACCTTAAATATACATTTTGATGAGGGGAATCCCCAATTTGATTAAGGGCCCATTTTAAAACCCAAAATCATCAATCAAACACTATTTATTGAGATGTTTGGCTTTCATGGCCCAATAAAAAACTGAATTTTCCCGCCAACCCAATTAAAAGACATTTTGAGAAACTGAAGCTTGCATTTCTGGGGAATTCGAGGTAAGAATGGAAGGAACAAAATCGCCAAGAAGAAGAAAATGATAATTAAAATGTGTTGGTATGTTAGACTTCAATGCAGTCAAATCGGATCTCATTGGTCTAACTTGTAGGCAGTCGTAAAACATTAGATAGATGATAAATGATGGAAGATTTGTTAAGCATTCGCCCTACTCTGTTGTGGTTAGTTTTTAGGCAATGTCTATAAGATGAGGACTCCACTATTTTGATCAATAAAATGCACCAAATGTTTTGTACATTTGATACCTTGACCATATGTTCATAATCATATATTGGACAGTAGAAAGAAAAATGACTGCAGTAATTGTTAAAATGATTTACTAATGGTCATTTTGCATCCAATTTCATTCGTATATCGACCATTTTCCTTTCTTAACCGAATCTTGAAGGAGATAGTGTCTGATAAGAATGAATGACGATTTTTCCCTTTAAAAACATTTTTACTTTAGATGCTTGTGTTTCCCTTGTTTTTTTAATAGCTGTTTCCAATTTAAGCCATGATATTTTCCAATCCAAGGTTCTTTGATCGCTTCAGGAATGATTGTTCACCTCAAATCTTGGAACATAAAAGGTCGAACTTTACCTCCGCCAAGACTATTACTTCTTCTCTTTAATATAGGGAAAAGGATGGAGATGGTGATGTTGGTATATCCAATCATGCCTAATGCCACACAAAAAGGTTCGCTTAGAACTTCCAATATCTTAATTTGATTTGTGTTCAATGGATAACCATGCTATTGATCTTTGGTTTGGGGTTTGGGGCCTTCATTAAGACAACCTTTAAAAAGCTCTATAAAATTTTTCAGATTCGCATATATAGAATCCAATAGTTTGATCTTATGTATTGAATAATGATACATATCTATACATTCCTCTCCCTTGTCTTGATTGTGGGGGATGTGGAGTGACTGTGGTACAGATAAGTGCTGCGGCAATGGAGTATTCCTCTTTCATTTCATCAAATCAATCTCTCCAAAATGTTTACATTTTCTGTTGTTGAAGCATTAAATGTCAGGAAATTTTGTTAGTGTCTATACTATATGAACTTGTTGTCTATTTCTTCAGGAATTGAGGCGACACTTCTCTGTATTTAGAGTAGTCTTGGTTTTCACACACATCTATAGAGTGGAGTTTAATTTAAAATCTGAATGAAGCATGCTTTCAGGAAGCTAAACAGCGATATCATTCAACTTTACAATCTGTAACTTGCTTAGTTATATTATTACTATTAGTTATTAAATATTGATGTTTGCTTTTGCGTTAACTCATGTAAAAATGCATTTGTCTTGTTTGAGCTTTTTTCTTCCGTATTGCATTGTCACTACAGAAGCAACGCCGAGTGAAGGCTGAGATAAATGCTTCCAAGCATGATTTGCCCCAAGATTTCATCGACAAACAAAGAGCATATTTTGCAGAGGTTGATGCATTTGAACTGGAAGAGGAGGTCGAATCAGGTAATGAGTTGAAGTAGATGAAAAAAATGTATATAAATGAATGATTTAGGATAATGCAAATTAAGATGATCAAACACTGTATAACTCTGTGTCCATAGTTACCAAAATAACCATCTCACCTTAGCCATATCATCACCATGATAGTCTTGCTTTCCACTAGTTTTGTATTGTATACGACATTCCATGGTCCTATATTTAGCAAAAGGGTTTTTGATTCCTTAGCAATTGTGAATTATTGATATAATGTTGTTGTTGAGGAACTGCTTGTGTTAGACCAAAATGATTTTGGTTAATAGGAGGAACTGCCCGCAGTTGGATTAGCATCGATTTTGGTTTTTAAATCCAAGTCTAGGTTGGATTATTATGCATTGAATTATTTTCACTTGATTAAAATTATGTAATCTTTTATTAAGTTTTTGTTTTTATGGTACATATTTTTTTATTAAGTTTTAATGTAATAATAAAAATATTTTAATATGTTTTTAATAATTAATTTAAAATATGTAATAAAGAAATTAAATATTTAAATAATTGAAATATCCTCGTACTTGCCGTCTGCTTCTTCCCCCGCCGGAGCAAGGCAGTGTCAGACTCCATCAAATGTCAATGTTGATGGCGCTAGCCACTGCTACAGGGGTCATTGTTAAAGACTCCATGGCATGGGGTTGATCATGGTGGACATATTTTTGGCATTATTATATAAAATTCCAAAAAAAATCATTTATTGGAATAGTAACCCTAAACATATTAATGAGAAAAATACATTCAAACTGCATACATAGGATTACCTCGCATCTTACAAAACGTGTGTCAAAGCCTCGCGATCTATAGGCCGTGAGACTCCTCCAACATGAAAACACTTTTCCTAGAATACAATTTAATATTTCAAAAAAATACCTCATGTTACGCAGACTGCGAGGTCTCCGAGATATTGAGATATTGAAACATCTTAATATTTATCGCGTTTTAAAAAAATTTGAAATTTGAAATTAGATTCTAGGACCTCCCGTCCTATTAAACATGAGTTTTATCTAAATACTCATCTTTTCAACGGATCTCGTGTTTTGTATAACACAATGTTCCTTTAAATTTGCTTCGGAAAGAGGACTCTTATAAATAGGGGCCCTTCAACCAAAGTCATCACACCTTACTCCATAAATATTTCTCTCTTTCAGTTTCTTTCTCTTATCTATTCCATTATTCGGTTATTATGGCAGGATTATTGAGGCTTGATCGAAGGCATGCATTCAATTATTGATGGACAAATATGAAGGTATTATTTATTTATTTATTAAATATCTTTCCAAGTTAGGAATCCCATGGACCTCGCGTTCGTGTAAAGCGAGGTCTATTAAATATCGCGCTTGTTAGTGTAAGAGGACTTCTATAATTAGGGCTTCACAAGTCTTTCTCCTCACATTCTCTTTGAGTTATTAAAAATCATTTATATGTGGAATTTTTTTTTGTGATTTCGATCTTTATTTTTGGGTCTTCCGACTCTGACTTCGACAATTGGGATTCAAGCTCGTTTTCAGATGAGGAAGAGTAGGTAAAGGAAGTAATAAAGTCGATAGTTGAGGATCATAAGAGTAAACTTGAAGAAGAATAAGAAGAAGTATGAAGACTTAACAATCTGACATACCGAACGAATTTGATAGAGGAATGAAAAAAATATGAAACATAAAAATGAAAATTGTGTATTTTGCTATTGTAGTAAAAAAATTAAATAATATTTGAAAAAATGTAGTTTTTTATGTTTTAAATATATCATCGAATCAAATCAAATATAATTTTAAAATTATTATAATTAGTTGTTTGGTTCAATGCATAAATACTTTGGAAACCATCATATTTTATGAAATTTATTTTAATACAAATTTATAAACATAATAAAAAAAACTACATGAAGTTTTGGTTAGTTGAAATTAATAGAAGAGGAGTTTGTTTCCATGTTTTTGTAGTCTGTAGAAATGTATAATGTTAAGGTTAGTTCCTTAATTATTTTGTAACACCCTTAACCCGTACCCGACCGGAATACGAGTCTGAGGTGTCATATTGACTTTTCAAACTTTGACTCTTGAGAAAATTCAAAGAAAATTTAAAACTTTCATTAAAATAAAAGCGGTTTATTTACATAAAGCGACCAAAATAACCAAAATCAATCAGAGCATTTTCAACTCAATCAATTAGTACATGTCAACTATATTCAAAATAACCAAACACATTTAAATTATCTATTTTCTGATATGAAATTTTTGTAAGAGAGATGCTGACCTGTATTGCTCTTCTTCGCTTCTCTTCTCGATTCTATACCTACGTGTGAAACAATCACACGCTAAGTCTATGACTTAGTGAGACAAATAAACATATAATGTAAACTATAACTTATAATCATGCATGAACTATTACTTTTATCAATCATACCCTTATTCATGTAACAAATCCCTATAACACATATGCAATATATAATTACATGTAAGAACATATATACACATATATACTCATCATTTCCATCATTAGCCTCATTTCATTATCAATATCAATATTATTTATCTTACTTCATACATTTTCTCTTATACCTAGCATTTTAACCAACATTTTACTCATTTAATCATACAATCCACATATCATCATATAAATCATATAATACAATTCATAGCATAAAAGCATACAAATCACATGTAATATGTTTGTTGTTATTTCTTTATTAGCCTATGTACACATGTGAGAACTGTAGATATGTGAGTCTATTGAGGTTGTGCACTATGCTGTCACCACAGCTCGTATAATTCCCACTAGGGGCACGTAGAATTTGTCCCGAAGGACCACGTAGATGTCCCAAAGGACCACTATGTCCCGAAGGACCACTATATCCCGAAAGACCGCGTAGACCCTCAACTCTTGGCATGCCAACTATACCTCTAGCTCTCAATACACTTAACATGGGCATTTTCACTTATCTCATTTCACTATACATTTTCATATCACATGTTCATATAAGCTCATAGCTTCTTTCACATATACATGTAGACATATGGCTTTTTTTCATGTAATTCATATCACTTTTCATATAATTCACATGTTCACATATCTCTTTTTATATTCTCATAGGATCGCATAGCTCATATATACATCACATACTTCTCATAGACATATAAAAACATAGATCCTCATCACATCACTTATATTACATGTTCATATAAATCATTTATATCTATACCACATAGCTTATATCACTTTCTCTTGTCATTACATAAGTTATTATTATTTACATAGTTTATAATCATATAACTTATATCACAGAGTCACATCATCACATAAATCATATCACATGGAAAAGAACATAACAATACATATTCACATACTAACGGCTATCAACTATACTTATTTTCATGCATTCATAAATTCAGAACATGAAAATAGACTTATCGCAAGTCTAATTTCCATATAATCATATACTATAATCATATACTATAATCATATGCACTCACATTGGCCTCACTAAGTTCTAATCCATTTTTATAATTTCCTCTCTTGCGATCTAATCATAACTTGATAATCGTTTTGGGACTTGTTCGTGCTCGATATCTATATAATCATACTTTGATACATATTAGTATTCAATTAATATACGCTAATCTATCATTTCTTAGACCGAAAGAAAGATTTATTTCAATTCCCCTTGAAGTGCATCGATGCATTAATTGCATTCGATGTTTCCATTTTTAAGAGGTGCATCGATGCACTTCCTGTGCATCAATACACACTGAACAATTTTTGGAGATTTACCCTTGATGCACCGGTGCACATTGAATATGCATCGATGCACATAGCCCAGAATTCATTTTTAATCCCGAAAATCTACTCAAATCAACTCAAATGCTTCATATTTCATCCCCTTTCATGTTCTCAACTCATATAAACATGCTTAAACCAATTTATATCCATATAAACCATCTTTAACTTCAAAATTATATTCCTCATATGTAACTCAAAAATTAAACCAACTTTTGCAATATGTTTTAATTCTAATTCTATGGCTTCTAACTTCTTAATTAGACCCTTGACAAGTCAAATTTAATTTCCAAATCTAGTTATGAACTCTATTTCAAGATTTCACCCAAAAACCTCAAATATTTAATCCCTCCTAACTCCATCATACTTTGATTTTAAGATAACTTAAGCTTTCCTTAAGCTTAGTTATCATCTAATAATCATAAACCAACTTTTATTTCAACAAATAATCAACTAACCACAAAACTCACCTTTGCCATGGTGACTCACGACTGAAGAAGAAGAAGAGAACTCTGGAAGTTTATTTTGCCTTCTTTTCTCTTCCACGTGGGCTTCCTTATCTAATAAAGGAAAATAAAAATCTTCCATGTCAAATGACTATTTTACCCTTTACTTCATTCAATAATTACTAAATAACTTTCATCATATTTCCAATAAATCATTGAACTATTCAATTATCCCACTTTAATCACCAATTTCTAAAACTTTACAATTTGGTCACTAACCCGGTATTTAGGATGTTACATATTTTCTTTCTCCCGACATGTACGAGCATAACATAGTAGAATTGCCTCTTTGGATCCTTTTGGTCTAGTGACAACCGAGTTATTTATGCATTACTTGATGAAGATGTTTCTTCCTCAAATTTTACGGTCAACTCGATGTTCATACCACCAACATATGTGTAGGCCCTAAACATCTTCCGAATTTCACTTGCATTTGATAAGGTCAACATATAATGTGTTTCAAGGTTGGGTTCATCAACAATAACTTTCACTTACAACAAAGACATCTTTCTTGTTATAGATTTTTAAGCTCCGTTGAAATCAAATTATATAATTCATCTTTCTTAAACTTGGCATTGAAGGAAATGTAGAAATAAGTGTCGGAATGGAACACAATCAGAAAATATTGTCATTAAATATTTGTTTTATGAAGGTATCATCCAACATGATTATCGTTTGTATTTATAGATATTTTTTTAAAATCTCGTGCCTTCCAGAATGCAAGCCCTTGACATGTCAAATCAAATATGTATGCTAGTGGTGTTGTCACGTCAGGAATTTTTATTGACCTCATGTTCTGCATAATGTGAGGTTCCTAACAGGTCAAGAATCTCAATAGAAAACGCATTTTGCATAGCGCGAGGTCGTTCCCTATATAAAGCATTGATGGAATTTTAAATTTTAACGCAAGGTCTTTACTTATAAGAGGCTCATTATCTGGTGGCACAACTTGGCATAAAACTTAGAGATCATTATGCCAATGTTGATGCTATAAGTTATGCCACCCGAAAAGGGTGTCTTTTATAAGGACATCACCCTTTGAGTTTCTTCTGTCAAACATGGCCTTCTTGAGAAATTTATTGTTTCATCAAAACCTCATTTCTCATGAACCTTCTTCAACAAGAGTAACCTGACATTCTCGAGAAACTTATCATTTCTAAAAAGGCATCCTTTTCTGGTGGCATTAATAATGGCCATTAACCCGAACAAAAATGACATTGGAGGGTGTTTGATGTTATTGCAGTCGTGGATTTGGTTTCGAATTATGTTATGTTCGATTCTTGTTCCATCAAACTCATATTTGTCATGAATATTCTTCTTCAACATGAGTAGCATGACCTTTTCGAGAAACTAATCGTTTTTAAAAAGGCATTCACTTTTGGTGACATCATCTACTTATTGCTTATGACGCTGATATGACAAATGACACACCACCACTTGAGAACCTAAGACTTCACTCGTACATAGAATTCGGGAAACTTCTCGGGAGATTTCTCATTCCATCAAACTTGTGTTTTTTCAATGTATTACTTTTGTAATTAACAAAATATATTCGTTAGTTTTCATATTTTTTGTTTTGAACCATTTCAACGCAATTTTTACACCGCTTAAAATATCTAATAAGTATCAATACTAGCCTCAATTGAAACGTAAGTATCAATACAACGCCTCTAATCTTATAAATTACAAAAAAATTTAAATTAACTTCCCAAAAATACTCCTCAAACATGCCTACGAAGTCATTTTAGCTTATTCTTCATGCACAAAACCAATCTTTGGTACCATTTTGAACGCGATTTTTACCCCGCTTACAATGTCTCATATGTGCTGATATTACCCTTAGTAGTATGAGGTGATTATAAGATAGTATTTGTTTACATTCTTTCTTAATTATTGACAACACACACACATCCTTCAAACATATCTACTCGAATCTAGAATCTCTGGGGAAAAAAATAATACTCTCCTTAATCACTACATACTTGATGGGTTCACTATCATACTTTTAAGTATAATATAAGATTAACTTTTAAAATTTATATTTAATCTTAATTTTAGTCAAAATACCAACAAAAAAACAATTACTGTAATTTAAATTCAACACTTAATTATTTCAATTCTCATCCTTCCCCTTGAAAATTCGAGAATATAAATGTGATTTCCAATTGCACTCTATTTAAAAAAACTCACAAATTACAATCAAAGATCAAACATGTAATATTTGTATAACCACATATAATTACACTTAAATTCAATTATCACACTTTCAAAACACATCTTTAATTTTTTACCACTTTTTTTAAGTTTATCAAATTTAAGTTGTGGGCTTGAGTTTGATTGGTATGTCCTAAATCCATATTAATCATAATAAATGTAATACCCCAAAATTTTGGTTAGTGACCAAAATGTAAATTTTGAAAGTTTAGTGGCTAAAGTATAAAATTGGGGAATTCTAGGGACTTAAGTGGTAATTTTTCCAAAAATAATTTTTATTCCATTAATGGATAATTTACTCTTGAGTGTTGTTTTTTTATTGAAATCATATTTTTGATCCGGAATTGGTGTTAAAAAAACTAAAAAGTGTTAAAGTATGGTAAAAATTCAGTAAATCGGACCAAATAGAAATTTCAGGAAAATTTGAAGGTTATTAAATTAAGCTTAGAAATATTATTTCAACATTTTAAAATGATCGGGTAGGACTTGCGAATGAGTAAATTTGAAGGTTATTAAATTAAGCTTAGAAATATTATTTTCAACATAAAATATCCATGTATAAAAAATCACATTTATGTTGTGACATGAAATTAGTATCGAATGAGCATCGGAAGATTTTTAGGAATTTATTTTCTAACATGTGCCTATGTTAGTAAGATTCTAACATGTGGTTTTAATTTGTATATGTTTTGTAATGATGCTCATTTATATTGTGTGCTTGAAGTAAAGATTAAACATTATTAAAGCTAAGGAGAAGCTTAAAGATGAAATGTGAATCTCTAAGGAAGGTTTGCAAGCTAAGGACATCAGGTGAGTGCAAATTTAATTTGTACTTATATTGTCGAGCAAACATTAGCTTGCGATGAGCCAGTGACAGAGTTATTATGGTAAGGAGTCACTCCTAAAATGTTATGTGATTTGTGATGCATGCATATATATGCATTTGGTGAGCTAATAGAATTAATGACATGCTAAAAATGCAAATTGGTGAAGTCAGCTTAGAAACTTAGTTCTAGACAATAAGTTTATAAAATCACCATAAATTCTAAAAAATAATTAGATGATTATTTTTATACCGTTGGATTCATATATCAGTCTAGTTTTGTTTAGAACAAACGGAAACTAATTTCAATGTATATACAAAAATATATGAATTTTTAACCAATGATAGGTCAGAAACCGAGGCAACAAATTCTGCCCAAAACAGATTTTGTCGTCAACTTTGAAATTTTACCATAAATTGTACAAATTGAACTAGAAGGAGTTCATTATATGGATAGATTTTTATTTGAGTTTAGTTTCCATTGGTATGAACGGAATAATTTTTAAATATTTATATTAATACATAATAATATTTCTTTAAAGGTAGTGCAAACTGTCAGAATATGAAATGATGACAAATTTTGAGATTTAACCAAATTATAAGCAAAGGATCAAGTTAAAGTTTAGTGAGGCTTATATTTTGACATGTATATAATGTTAAAATGAGTGCAATGCCTACATAACATTATACATGGATATTTTATACATCATCGGGTAGGACTTGCGATGAGTCTACTTTATTTATGTTGGCATGATAATTGTGTCACGGTGTAATAGTTGATGGTTGAAAACGACTTCTCGTCTTGTTTCTCCAGGTTCTTGAACTCCTTCGCCTTCTCCTTTCATTTACTGAGGTAAATCTTTTATCTTCGCTTTCATTTTTCTTCAAAATCCATCGATCTGTCATCTGTCGCTTTTAATGCTTGAGTTTGATGTTTAAACGATTATGCAACTGAGATCTACAGCTGTAGAAGTATTTACAGTGTTAAATTTAACTTGATCTGGTTTCTTTGTAGTTAGATCTTTACTTAGCTTGATTCATTACATTTGCGATTTATTCATAGATCTTACGAGAATTCATTTTTTTCATTTATTTTGAACTCTATCTTCTTCCAACCTGTCTTGATTAATGCTTTCATCGCGTAAATTTTAATGCGTTCCAAAGATATTTTTTTGAGCTTATAGAAAAATTCTAATATAGATTCTTCTTTCTAATTGATTTACTTTGTTATCCATTGAATTATACAATATATTGATTAGATTATCTCAAATGAATGTTGCCTACTATTTTTGTAGTTAATATTAGAGTCACGAACTAGATCATAAGAATATTTGAGTAATTTTGTAGTTAATTTTCTTTAAAATTTCATTATTTTTGTTTTTTACAATAATCATTAACGTTGTTAATTATTTGATGTTCAAAATTGTTTGTTTAATAGGAACTTGGATCTACTGGATCTTTATTTTTGCACTTTTCTTTGAGTAGGATTTACTGGATTTGTATTTTTTTTTCATTGCCCTAGACTCCCGATATCTTATATCATAATAGATTTTTAAGTAAGATATAAATTCAATCATTGGTTTCTAGCTGTTGGCCTTAAGTTAAGTAAGATAGTGTTAATTTGTCTTAAAATCCTATTAAGTAACCAACTAGGCTTCTTAGTACCCCTCAATTCTCTAGCGTTTTAATGGTGCACCTTCTGTCTTCTTTGGATTCCTTTTTCATAGTTCCACATAGCTCCGAATATCGATGATTACTTGAGGTCATGTCCTTCTTTTAGATCCCATAGGGCGTATAAGGGGAGGGCTCGACAGAGTGGTGTCAAGGAGACTAGACTTAGAGTTTGTTCGTTGAATGTAGGCATATTAAATGCTAGGCTGCTGGAGCTGACCAACATACTAAGTAATAGGAAAATAGATTTTGCTTGTATTCAGGAGACTAGGTGGAAAGGGGCTCGCGCCAGAGAGTGTAATGGGTAAAAGTTGTTGTATTCAGGCGTAGATAACGCTAGAAATGGGGTGAGTATCTTGGTATCCTATAGGCTCAAGGAAAATGTATTTGAAGTTTGTAGATACCGGGATAGGATCATGATGATTAAGGTTATTATAGAAGATGAAGTGGTGAATGTCCTTTCAGTGTACGCCCTACACGTTGGCCTAGAGGAAGGGGAGAAATGTTTCTTCTGGGATCAGTTAGATGAGTTACTTAGGAGCATTCTGGAGGACCAAAGAGTTTTCATAGGGGGAGACTTCAATGGCCATATAGGTAGTGCAACCGACGGGTATGACGGTGTTCATAGGGGTTTCGGTTTTGGTAGTAGGAACGAGGAGGGGCGTACGTTGCTTGAATTTGCTACTGCACACGATATGGTGGTCACTAACTCCTGCTTTAACAAGAGAGGTGTGAACTTGATTACGTTCCATAGCGGGGGACATTATACCCAAATCGACTATATCGTGGTTCGAAATCGGGATCGATGGGCTTGCATTGAGTGTAAGGTGTTCCCTGAAGAGGCATGTGCATCACAACACAGATTGTTGGTTTTGGTGTTCTGCGTACGCCACGGGTGGAGTACTCATAAGAGGGCTAAAACTGGTAAACCTAAGATCCTTTGGAAAAACTTACATGGAGCGACAGCTGATGACTTTAGGAGTAAGGTTTTATCTAATACAGGTTTTGGAACTACAAACTCAAATAATGCAGATATGTTATGGAAATATATGGCACAATCCATCAGAGAGGTGGGCAAAAACACCCTTGGGTTGTCGACAGGGAAGGTAAAGGAGCATAAAGAATCGTGCTGGTGGAACGACGAAGTCCAAACTAAGGTGAAGACAAAACAAACTTGCTTCAAGGAGTATCTACAATACAATGACGACGAAGAAATATCGAGAGCTAAACAAAGATACAAGGAGGTGAAGTGGGAAACCAAGAAAACGGTGGCTAAAGCAAAGGATAAGACATACGAGGAAATGTACAAGAGATTAGACACCAAGGAAAGACAAAACGACATCTTCAGGCTAGTAAAATCTAGGGAGAATAGGAAAAAGGATCTAGGTAGCATTAGGTTTATTAAGGACAATAATTGTGTTCTTTTAATGAAAGATCATGATATTAAGAGGGTTTGGGGTAGTTACTTCTTTGGCTTATTTAATGACGGTGCCTCTCCCTATAGAGATAGTATCGTTGATCGGTCAGTTGACCATCTTACTACGGCTAATGAATGCCCTACAACTAGGATTAGGTTTGAGGAAGTCAAAATGGCTCTTAGAAAGATGGGGAAGGACAAAGTTGTCGGTCCAGATCAAATTCTTATCACTGTGTGGTTGGCCCAAGGAGAAGAGGGAGTTAAGTGGTTGACCAACATCTTTAATATTATTTTAGAGACTACCAAGATGCCAGAGGTGTGGAGAGAGTCTACGGTGATATCAATCTATAAGAATAAAGGAGATCCCCAACGTTGTGGCAACTACAGAGGTATTAAACTATTCAGCAATACCATGAAGCTATGGGAAAGGGTGATAGAGGCTAGGTTGAGACAAATTACTAGGGTTTCGAAAAACCAATTTGGTTTTATGCCAGGTACGTCAACTACGGAGGCGATTCATCTACTTCGACGGCTTATGGAGAAGGCGTTCATTGACCTTGAGAAGGCGTATGATAGTGTTCCCCGCGATACAATCTGGAAGACATTGGAAACGAGACGGATCCCAACTACTTATATATGAGCAATTCGTGATATGTACTGTAGATCTACTACATATGTCAGAACTATAGTTGGAGACATAAAGGCATTCCCGGTAGAAATCAGACTCCACCACGGGTCGGCTCTTAGCCCTTACATCTTTGCCTTGATTATGGACGACATCTATTGTGCGGCACCAGACGGTGTTCCATAGTGTATGCTTTTTGCCGACGACATTGTCCTAGTTGCTGAAACAATAACTGAGCTAAATTGTAGACTGGCTACTTTGAAGACTGCTTTGGAAGAAAAAGGTCTAAGGATCAATATCGTAAAGACAGAGTATTTATGTTTAAACTTCAGTGGGAACCAAAATGATGAAGATGTAGAGGTATGCATAGAAGGACACGTTCTCCCCTCAAAGGATTGTTTCAAGTATATAGGGTCTATGATACATAAAGATGGGGGTGTGGATGATGACGTTATACACCGTATAAAGGCGGGATGGCTAAAGTAGAAGGCTGCTACCGGAGTTTTGTGTGACAAGAAAGTGCCTCTAAAACTTAAGGGAAAATTTTATAGAATGGCAATAAGACCAGCGCTGCTGTATGGATCAGAATGTTGGGCAATCAAGAAGGATCACTTAAGGAGGATGGAGGCCGCAGAAATGAGAATGCTTCGATGGACATGTGGTAGGACTCTATGGGACATGACACCAAACTCTGCTATTAGGATGTCTTTGGGGGTGGTGCATGTATCCGAGAAATTGAGGGAGAGAAGACTACGGTGGTTTGGGCATGTCCTTAGGCGACAACAGTCGGATGCGGTCAGGAGGGTAGAGTTGATTACAATCGACGGTGCCAGAAGGAGTGGACTATCAAGGCGGAAGTGGGAAGACTGCTTGAGATATGATTTAAAGGATTTAGCCCTTACCGAGGACATGACCTCTGATAGGAAAGTATGGAGACTTAAGACCAGGGTACCCGAGTAGTGCGGGTCACATCCATAGGGTGTATCATCTTTGTCCTCTTTTAATGCCTTTGTAGAAATTTCCATGACTTCTACTTTTTATACGTTTCAGTCATTGGAATTTTTGAAGGCTTAGAACTAGGGTAGCGGAGAAGTGTTGCCTTAGTTTAGGTTTTAACCCATTTGACTTTATTCCTTCTCGTTGCTTGCTATCGTTGACTTCTATGTATCATTCTCTTCAGGTTTCCTCTTTTTAAATTTAGTTAGGTCTTACGTTACTTTCTATATGCAGAGCCTTTTTATGCAGGGATTACTTCCCATTACAGACACACGTATGTAGACTGCATATGAAGACTGTTTCAACTATGTATTTATTTATACATGCATTGCATTTTATCTTTATTTTTAATTTCATGACTGTCGAAGGTCTTCCATGGAAGCTGCTTTCAACCTGGCGTTAGGGGGAGCCTACTACCCTACCTCTCTCTTCCATTGCATATGGGAATAGGGTTTTGTTGTTGTTGTAAATATGTTAAAGGTTGAATATAAAATGCATTGATTATTGATCATTACATATGATGTTTATCATGAACATATATGATATTTATCATGAATGATATTTCGGGTATG